GACGTTGCTCTTTTTGGCAAGTAAGCAATGGCTCAACTTCATGTTCCTCATTGTTGCTGCAGATCTCAGACACAACTTATTCTGACTACAGCTGGAGAGAGGAGGAGGAGAAGGAGGAGGTTTGTTGGCTGCCACCTGGGTCCAAAACAGGCTGCAGACAAGCCACAGCATATCTTGGAGCCCGTGAGAGTGGCATGGAATGGCAGGAGGCACATCCCGACACTCCAGGTGGCATGAGTAAAGACTTGCGACCCCCATTCTCGCTACCACTGGATACCAAAACTGGCTACATAGCACTTTGGATTCCATGCAGGAGGTATTGGGCGGATGTGTGCACCACTCATCCTGACGCTATTAGGAGCCTGCCAGAGTGCACAGGAAGAGGTGCAAGCTCTTCCCCTCTGGCCACTGGAAGGTGGGGCATCAAAGCCTCTTGAGTCAACAAAACATATTGAGTCGTCCCTGCTCTGTGGGAAGAGGACAGAATTGCCATGGCTGACTGAACACAGCTGACGGCTGTTAAATGTCATTTGTGTTTACAACAAAGGCTTGCAGGATCATTACCTGATCAGAGAGTAAGGGGGGAACTGATATTATGGGAGACGTGAGGCTGTTACTGTGTTGAATTCTCCCCCTTTGTGAGCCATGTAGGTATCTCATGTTGTTCTGACATGCTTTTCCATGTCAACAGATGACATGGAGAGGGAGTGTGGAAATGCATGTAATGATATTAGGTCAATGCTATTCCACATTACAGGGACTGGGGGAGGAACTTGACAGAGATCCCTGTTCTGGAGGCAGCCCCATAAAATGCCTTTCTGCTCTTAGACACCAGGGCTGGAGCAAGCTTTTACTCAGCCACTGACATAATCAGGCCAGAGACAATAAACGAAGCAGCTAGGATCCTGTTCCTGAATACAGTATGCTTATGAAAATAAAAAGCCCCCCCCCAGCAGAAATACCATTGATGCAGTATTTTTGAACTCCAAAGGGAACATCTGAGATGTATCTATTTTTGTTTATTTAACAGAAAGCTCTGCACACAGATGTGATGTGAATGATTTCAGGCAGCTTATACCCCCCCCCCCCCCCCCCCAAATTTTAGGTTTAGAAATCAACTGGAATGGCAAGATGGACACTGGGGACTGTCAAGATGTTTCTCAAGTTCCGATTCCCGATTAAAGCTGGCTAGCTATCAGGGACAAATTAAATGCTTTTGTAGGTTTTAACAGCCATCTTAATGCAAGGACTACTCCGGTTTGCTGAAATTCTAACATAATTGTAGCAAGGAAACCACTGAAAAGGAGTAATAGGCAACTGGTTTTATTTTTGTCTCATCGTAATTATTCAGTCAAGAGATGAAATCTGTTCCTGGATCACCATTTCAATTTGCACTGGCTTCAAGTTGTCATCCCGTGCAGAAATTACTGACAAACATTTTGGCAAATCTTACTGCATTATCCAGCAGTATGGCTTATGGTAGCTTTATAGCAGTTTTTGCAGCACTGAGTCAACACGAAACAAATTGAACAGTTGTGTAACCAGTTCACTGCAGTCGTCTAATGGATTCTGAATCGCTGCCAAAAGCCAAAGCTGGAGATTGTTTTGTTACTTCTTTGCACTTGCTAAGGGTAGGATTCAAAGTACTGTGAGCTCTGCTCCTTCCAGGGAATGAACTCATCCCTTCCCACTGCAGTCTCTGTCCCCTAAAACACTGCCCCCTGTCGTCAGGGGAATCCCAGGGACAGCACTGGGTACAATGTGGGCATCTGCAGTGGGAACGGGTAATTAATGATCAAAAATTTCCTTCTCTGCCAGAGAAAGTGACCTTCTGCTGGTAAAACACAAGGTTTGGATCCAATCCTAAATTTTGCCTTGGAGCTGATAGATATTCACCTACCAAACAAAACCCTGTTTCCCAGATAACCAGAAGTAACTTGTTTGCTGTGCTGTTGTTACCACACAAATAATCCTTCATTCAGAAATCTGGGACACGGAGTTTGAATTACCTTGTGGACACTGAGCAAAGGCTGTAGTTATCCCATAAAGACGACTGCGCTTTTGGGGCTGGAACTCATCATTCTCTTTTGAGATTGTGCGATCTACTGCTACCACAGCATCTCTACAGCATGCAAAACAGCAAAAATAAAATCGTTGGGGAAGGAGAAAAGAGAAGAAGAAAGGAACAAAACTAAAAAAACCCTAGGAGTAGAAAGAGATTTTTAAACAAATATTATGTCTTCCACAGAGCTTCAAACATTAGGTATAAAAAGCCTGATATACAGTGGTGACTTTCACCAATAGCATGGCTATCAGGCAACAATTTTCGGTGGGAATGAGTCGTACAGGGAGGAAATGACAGGGAGGATTGACAGATTTTGCAACTGTTCTAATGCTATATATATGGGCTTAAATACAGTAGAATGACATTACACCATGCCTAGATGGCTCAGATGTAACAGCAAACCTGGGTTTACCAATACAGAAACAAACCTCCACTGTCCCATTGCACAAAGACAGCTAATTAGAGATTTCTGGCCATAGCAAACCATAACTTGCTATTATGTTTGAATCATCAAACTATGATTTGCACTTTCCCCATAACAATGATCCCAAACTAGGATCAGACTTCATTTTGGAATACTAGTTGGCATAGGAAGCACAAACCATAGTTTGGTACTTTGGATATAAGAACAAACTATACATTAGGGTGAAGGCTGCTGTCTCTAATTAGGTAGCAGCACATGAGAGGAGAAGGAAGAGGGAGAACACATATGAGACAAAAGATTCCTCAGGCTCATTCGTGTAGTAGTAAGCCATGGTTTGCTGTTATGTATTAACCATGCCATTGAATCATTTTCTAATTCAAATAAAATACAGTAAAAGCTTCAATATCCTGCAATCATGAGGAATGAGAATTGCTGGTTAATCAAATGTGCTCAGGCTTATTGCTCTGCCCCACCCCCTACCCAGAGGACTCTGCAGTGACCAAACCCCACCCCCACTGGAAACATCCCTATGCCTGGTAGGAGCCTTCCCTTCATCCTTGAGCTATGGAACCAACCTACTCAGCAGGCAGTTATCAGTACTTTTTTGAAAAAACTGTACGACTCTCTACTTCTTTCATTTTGAGAACTGTGGCTTATTTTTAGAGACAGACTAAAGTGTCTCATCTTGAGAATCCTGATTTAAGACTCAAAACTAAAGGAAATCCTGATTTAAGACTCAAAACTAAAGGATCCTTTGCATCACTGCCAGTACTAGATTTAAAAACAGGATCACCCCAATCTAATAAGTGCCACCCAGGCATGCATACAAGTATCTTTAGCTGGATAAAGAATTCTGAATGGAAATGGGTGCTATGAATGCTTTCCTCAGAGGCTTGAGAAACCCACTGCTGTTGCATGAGGCTTCTAACCTCAGAGTAACGTGATTACAGCAGGCCACTCCGGCACATGACCACTGCAGCACTGAAGCCAACCACTGACATTTGGAATGTTTAATTTCAACTTGTATATTTAAACTACAGGACTATATCTAAATCCTGTTCAGAACTATGCTCAGCTGTATTTGGAAATCATTTTTATTATAACCATTTCCATATTAACTGGGAAGAAAGGCTTCAAATTGCAATGAAGTGAGCAGTGGCTCATGAAAGCTCATACCTACCACAAATTTTGTTAGCCTTTAAGGTGCTACTGGACTCTTACTCTTTTCTACTGCTTCAAATTGCAAGTTTCTGTACTGTTCATCTGAATGAGTGCTGCCAATAAGGCAGGCCATTACCGTCCAATATCCTCCCCCTATATTCGGTGGGGGGGAACAGCAGTTATTAAAAATACTTTCTCAGAAAGCTTACTTTGTGTTGCTGGTTCAGAGAAGAGAGTATTAATTCTCTTTGGAAACAATGCAAACTAGCAAATCTGATTTCTAATTTCCACCAAACCGGGGGGACGGGACGAGGACTGAACACACCAATGGACAATTAGTTTTTCACGCAGATGATCATACCTTCTCCAGTCTGTGTAAAATAAATTCTTCCCATAGCTTGTAATGCTGAAAGGATACTGGATTCCTTCAAGGACTTTTCGGCGACCAAGCTGATTGGGATTCATACACTCGACTCTTTTGGTGCCTGCGTACAAAAGAACAATTTGGTCTTTGTAAGTGACAACTAGTCCTTTTGTAGGAAAAAGGCACAATGACGCAAGAAAAAGGGAATTATGTATGGAATTAGTTTCCTGTAAAATGTGTATGTGACACACATCTCCAGCCATGTTCACTTCACAAGAGACTAAACCAGGAAATAATCTTTATGAATAATGGTAACATTTTGGGGGCACTTTTGGCACCATCTCTGTTGCTCTGGACACACATGAACCATAGTATAAATCTTGGGTTTGCCTCAGTCGCTATGCAGATGTTCTCAAATGTAAGGGCTGATTCTTAAAGAACAGAAACATGGTGAGTTCATGAAATGGATTTTTCCTGTCTTTCTCTTCTCACTGTAGCCCCTGTAAAACTGCCCCTTAATGTCAGGAGATCTTTGGTAACCACATGGGATGTTGCTGTGGCTGGTAAAGGAAGGCTCCTTCAGCCTCACAGGTTTCCCTTCAAGTACTGTTAGAAACACATTTAGGAGAGTTTGAGAAAAATTGTTCTTTGTGGGAAAGTATTTTTTTTAACAAGGAAAGCTGCACCGTATTCATCTGCTGCTCAGCAATGTTCTGTCTAAGCGCCACAGTGAGCAGAAATTCTACCTCATGAGCAAAAAAAGCTAGTAGCATTAAAATTTTGAGCGAGGCTACATTTGACAGTCATGTAAATTAGTTTCTTAGAAGATTACTTCCATAACCTTGTAAAAATCTCAGAATAAATTCTTTTAAATTTTAAACTTTTAAACTATATTTTAACTATAATTTAAACATTAAAAAAGAAAACAGAATCAAGTCAAATTTCACCCACCCCTTTCCACTATATTGCTAGACCTGGCCTCTGGAGAACAGATCTACCCGCCCCAGTCCACCATATTGGTAGACCTAGCCTCAGACCATCGCCCTATGCTAAGTCTTAGAAAACATACCAGCACTTGGGTGGGCGTTTGGACTCTTGCTGTCTACTTTGAGTTTTTTCAGTATAATATGACAGCCAGCATTACAGGTCAAGTATAAGAGGAGAAACAATCACTATCAGAACCCTGCCTAACATAACAAACAGGAAGTTGCTTAAATGTTATTGACCTGTCCAAACTACTTACTCAAATATTTATATCCCACTTTTCCCTGTAATTCAAGGCAGTTTACAAATCATACCGTAAAGCATAATAGGGGTGTGGCGGAATGGGCCTGTTCTGACTTATGCCTTGGCTTATGCCAATTCCTGGAGGGTGCTATTCTACTTCTCCCACTAGGGTACCGCTGCCACCACCGTCCTTTTGGGGGTTTCCTTCCAGGAGGGACAGACTCCTGACAACCCTTCTCAAACTGAGGCTCTGCCTCTGGTCTCCTAGTACCCAGCTCCTGATGAACACAAGGACCCCTGGAGGATTGGCAATGGGTGCCTCGACTGCTTGCCTTCCCCCTTCCTGGGACTCCCATCTTACGGGAACCCAGTTCTCCAGATTAGAGTCCACTGCTCTTAACCACTACACCAAACTGGTTCTCTGTAAGAGGCTACAAGAGTCTCTTTTTGCTCTTCTCTCTTTACAGCTAAACAAGATACAAGAGTTATGTAAATGGATTTCATTTGAAATTAATTTAATTTGAAAGTAGCTGTGCCTGAAGGTGGTGACAATAAATAAAGGAAAACTGGATTTTGGTCATGACACAGGGGCATAGGGAGTAAATCTTTCTTCTTGTGCCATTTTCTGGGTGGAAATCTCCTTTCTCCTCAAGACGTTCTTGGAACTGGTGGGTGGAAAGCTACCTTTTCCCTTACTTCTTTCTATAGAGTGTGATGGTGGCATAGGGTTGCCTGATTTGGAGGGGCTCCTTCCCACCCGCCAGCCCACCCCCAACAGCGACCACCTGGCCTCCTCCCCACCTCCTCCCAACAGTGTTTGCTTTAAATGCTGCTGGAGAGGGGCGGGGGCTGTGCGCCTGCACTCTAAGCCCTGAATTCGGGGCTTGGAATGCAGGTCCTTGGGGCGTCCCCCTCCCCCTCTACCCAGCAGCATTTAAAGGATGCCTTTAAACACTGCTGGGAAGAGGAGGGGGTGCCACTCCCCAATGTGATGAGTCACTTCTGTGTGATGTCATCACATTAGGGACTCCCCACCCTCCCCAGTAACACCCACCAAAGTCCCCTTCTGGGGACTTTGAGGGGACCTGGCAACCCTATGGTGGCAGTGGTTGCTCCTATCTAGGAAACAGAATATAGAAATAATTTATTCTCCATTTCCATCCCACTGATGTGCTAGAGCAGCGAGTTATTTGGGGCTGTGAACAAAGGTGATATTTTTAAACAGAAAAAGTGATATTGAAATAATAAATAACTTTCCCAGAAGGCCCACCTAGCATTTTAAAAGCCAGCAGTTCATACATTTTGTTCATTTAAAATCATGTATAATTTATTTATTTGTTTATTTATTTTATGACATTTATACCCCGCCCTCCCCGCAAGCTTTTTACCTGCATCTGCCCAGCATAACAATGAAGAGTAAGAGTCAAATGTCAGTCCATTGGGTAGCCCCAAATCATCTTTAACAAGAATCCTTCTGTTGGTGCCATCCATGTGTGAAGCTTCAATTTTAGGAGCCTCTCTGTTCCAGTCCGTCCAGTAAAGATTTCTGGGTATGCAAATAAAAAAAAAACACAGAGTTAAAATGAATACACCACCACATGCAATAAATATGTCAGGAAAAACTCTAATTAGCAGAAGAAAATAAATAAATAACCTCAGAGGTTAATTGAGCTGCTATTAATTTTTATTTAATTATTTTAAATGTTTTCAGAGTGCTCCCATTCCAATGGAATAAGCTTCCAGTTATTTTTTCAGAACATTTACATACTTCATCTTTCTCCTAACACAAAGCGTGGTGACAACAACAAACATAATACAAAAAGAATCTACTAAATGCCTGAAAATGCATAATTAAAAACAGATAATTAAAACAGTTAAATGAGATCCCATTCAAGCTGCGCAGCTAAGCAATTTTAAATAATTCTGCTGTACAGAATTAGTACTGTCTATCGGCAATACATGACCCTTGTTTGCTTTTTCACTCACTATTAAAATATTCTTTTGGCTTTGCTTCCTGTAGAGGCCAATTAAGGTTTGGGTTTTCTGTTTTGTTTTTTTAAAGAAAGATCAACAATGTAATCATTGCATATTCCTGTCTGTACATGGACTTTTCCTAAAAAGACACCAAAACTTAAGGTATATTTTATTTATTCAATGTATACCTTGCCATTCTTCAAATTAAAGCCCTAGGGTAGGTTACAGAACAATAAAAACAGTGCATACTGTTCTATCATAATTTTGAGTGCTCACTTGAGAGGAGAAATAGTTTTAGTCAAACATATGGTTGACAGAGATTCTCTAAAGAGTTAGGAAAAATGTGTACATATGTTTTTAACCCTCACTGGGTGGCCTTTCCTCATCAGGTTGCAAGGAGCAGAGGTACATCAAAAAGGTATAGATAGCAACTCTTGGTCTGGGGCAAGTGATGCTCTGCATTCTTGGTGTTTGGAGGGGCAACATTGGGAGGGCTTCTAGTGTCCTGGTCCCACTGGTGGACCTCTTGATGGCACCTGGTATTTTTGGCCACTGTGTAACAGAGTGTTGGGCTGGATGGGTCATTGGCCTGATCCAACATTGGCTTCTCTTATGTTCTTTTGTTAACTAAGGGCATATAATATTCTTTTACATGCTCTTGTGGCAGTAGTGAGAGTAGTTCTTATCATTTTTTATGTTTAAAAATTCTCTCTCCTTTAAGTAATCCTATTTTACCCCACAGCAAACTCAGCTGCATCCACTTAACTTAGGCTAGCTTCGCAGAAGTTCACACTATGCTGCTTCCACTGAATTTTTCACCAATATGTTCCTCTGAATACAAACACTACTGCTAGACAGTGGCATTTACGACAATAGTTTACTACTATTTATTATGTATTACTCATCCCATAATCAAAATGGATGGGACTAAACATTCTCCATGAACTAAAGTTGTGTGCAGACGCACAATTTTATGCATGTTGGAAATTCCACTGATGTCTATGGAACTATTCACCACATTCTCACAATTAAATATTTAGGAACAATTTGTTAAACTAAGAGAAGCGTGGCATGCAAAAGCTTTAATCACAGTTGCCTTGCTTACGTGAGTCTATGAATCACTGTTATCTAAACAAGTATGATATTGGCTTCCTTGAAAATGTAAGCGGTACATTTGGATTTTGAAAGAAAACCCATAAAGAAAGATAGATAGATATACAGAAAAGAAGTTACAGAACTTTTTGAAAACAAGGAACCAATAAATAATGTGGCCTGACTGAGTGCTGATTCATGTGACAGTCCATATGGCAGACATACGGTCTATCAACAAATGTGTGCCTGAAGTTCTGTTCTGCGGCTGTTTCAGGTCAAGAAAATGGAACTGCTGTGAAGGATTTAAGGCACTTCTTCCCATGTGCCAATCTGAATTGCATGTCTGGGAACTGAGGGCAGCGCATCTCCATGGGTATTTAGTTTTACCCTCCTCAGATTTTTTCTCTCAGCATCTGCCTGCATAGAGAGTATAGCAAAAGTGAAAGTAAGCTGGTATGGGTTGATATAGCAGAGTCATAACAAAGTGGGCAAGAGCTAGCCTTCAACAACCATAGAAATGGCCCCCAGGATGAGTGGTAGCAGCTGGACCAGAGGGGAAACAGATGAAGTACCATCATCTGGTGAGCAGCAGCAACTGAAGACAGGTGACTTTGACCCTGCCAGCCTTTCCCTCTGAGCTGTCCAGTACATCTCATGGAGGCTTTCAGCCCTCACTTGGCCAGCCTAGCCCAGCCCAGCCCTCACTCACTCTGCCACTCTCACTGGAGGAAGAACAGTGTGAAGGAAGCAGACAGCGCCATGGTGCAACGGCCTCCTCCAGACTGCATTTACCTTCTGGAACCTCTGGTGAGTTGTGCTAATGAGCTCCTGCACCACTTTTGCTACGAAATGTCCCCTAAAGAACAGTGTGAAGGAAGCAGACAGCCCCATGGTGCAACGACCTCCTCCAGACTGCATTTACCTTCTGGAACCTCTGGTGATGCATCCCAGGTCAGGCAGTGGGACTGAGTCAGTATCTGTCTAGAGTTACAGCAAGCTGATGACAGCAATTCAAAGGAGGGTGATGTGGGAGTCTTCCCACTCATTGTCCCCATCTCAGCCCCAATGATGCTGACAGGACAATTAAGGGATAGGTGAACATATCTGGTCTGGCCTGAAAGCCTCCATGAGGAGATATGCTGGGCTTCCTACCAGGACACTCCACGGGAGGCTGGCAGGGTTGAACTCACTTAGCGCCTCTTTATCTGGCTGCTGTCTTGGTTAGGAATATATCAGGATACAGATTAGATGGCCAGGAAGTGTGTGTTTGTGAGGAACAGTAAGTTGATCAAAGTGAAAACAGGCTGCATCTGTCTTGAAAACTGTACTATGACTGCAAAGCCAGGGCTGACGTCAAGCCCTCTATCCTCTCAGTAGGTGGCTTCTTTGTTGATGCTGGGGTTTGCCTTTTGTTTAAGTGCATGTATTTGTTATTTGTTTTGAAAGGGATCACCGGTGCTGCCTCACTCTCTCTGCCAGTGTCACCCCAGGGGTTCAGGTGGGCTGTTGGTCCCTTGGCTTCTGTGGCAGGCTTTGCACTGAAGAACTGGATGAGGATCTGGGAAACACCAGGGATAAGACCTGGGGCCTTCGGCATGCAATCCAGACACTCTACTAGTAAGCCACAGCTCTTTCCCAAGATAGCTTTTTCTCTTTCTTTTTTTAAGTGCTGTTTATAGGTATCAGTTTATTATGTTATATATTTATCATTTATTGTTATTTAAAATTATTAGCTGCCTTGAGTATTTTGGAGGAGGAGAGAATAAATTTATAAAGTTAATAAACAGAAAATTGAGCATGTTTAAGATTCCACTGAACTGCACTTTCATTATAACAATGTCTCTCTGTGAATGCTGGAATTTGATGGAATCAATATGACAAGTGTATGTGGCTGCGTCTGGGCCTGCACCAAGCTCTGAAGGCACACCTCTGAGGGAGGAGCTTGAGAAAAGTAGCAGGGCCTATGACAGTGCTATGAAATTTAATTTTGTACCTGACCCACAGACAATTTAAAACACGGTCTGGAGATTTGGCAGAAGGAACGAAAAGGCAACTTCTGCTAGTGTATGTACACTATTTCCCTATGAATACAGATCTCTCAAACCAAGGGCTTTCCACACATTCTCATTTTACTTGCTGGTAAATTCCTGTTTCTTCTGGGCGGGGGGGGGGGGGGGCTCCTGTTTACACATACTTTGCTCCCTCTAGTGGTCAATTCAATATCACACAGGTTTAGTTCCAGTATATCACCCCGCAGATTTAAACTGCAGGTTTTTATGCCGGACATAAATATGTCATATCGAACTGACCACTAGAGTGAGCAAAACACGTGTGGAACAGGAACACCCCCCTCCCTGAAAGATACAGGAATTTACCAGTGAGTAAAATGAGAGTGCGGAAGAGCCCCAAGTCTTCACACCAATCCTGCAGCTGCCCCTTAACTGAAAGGAGCTTAAAAAGCAGCTTCGTAGTTTCTCTCTCTTTCCCCCTCTCTCTGTAGACCATGGCCTAGACTTTCCATTATACCCGCCTCCAATACTCTTTAACCTGAAAGAAGTGTGACCATAAACACTAAAAGAACCGTCTGAATGCACATAATTAACAAATTAATATTTTATCAATTTTTGAAATAGTTCTAGAAAACCAAAATCATCTGTTTTGACAACCAGCATAATCCGCAGTGACAAAAGACAACACCGGCATGTGAAAAGATTCTGATAAAAGGCACTGAAACGAAATAACTTATAATCAAGCATTTCCTGAATTTAAGAGAGCATTCATAGGTGTTTGCCTACCCTCTCATAGGATCTGCTATAATAGCTCTGGGGTTCACAAGGCCAGTGTCAAACAGCACTCGGCGCTGGCTGCCATCTAGTTTTGCAACTTCTATCCTATCCAGCTGAGAATCTGTCCAAAATATGGTGCGTCCAAGATGATCAAGAGTTAATCCTTCAGGACTTTCCAAATCTGGGGGAAAAGAGAAAAGCAATGCATAGCCTGAATATTCATCTAAAACATTTCAACCATTGTTATTATTTGTGGAAATAAATTCACCGGTAAAACAGGTGAAATTAGTAAATCCCAGTTAAGGTTTAAAGACTGTGCACCTTTCCTATGAATGCAATCAAGCAAAATAAGACTGAGAAGCATATGTCAACCTACTATGCTTTTTATTGCTGCCTGCATTTCTTTTTTGTGATGTTGAGTTTTTTAATCCCTAGGGGGTTCCCCTGGATTTGCAGGAGCCCTATTCTGGGGGAGGAGCAGGATAAAAATCTAATTAAAAATAACCTTCTAAATAGAGATGTGTGTGGGCTTTAATCTGTGCAGAGGGAGGGGAGGCTCTACTACACTATATGAAAGGCACTCAATACAGAGGTACAGTGTTCCTTAATTCTGTTAGGGAAGCTCAGTGGTAAACAAACAGTACTCTTTACAAGTTCAGAAACTCTTTTTTATAATTTCAATTAAAGATTTTCAACCATGGATTTGCTGACTAAGCATGAATTAGTGCTGTGCCTTACCACTCCTCCGCTGTAAAATGAGACTAGTGTCTTCAAACTGGTATAACCACAACGGAGCATAGACCATACATTTGTATACGTCTGATGTGCAATGCCTTGTAGTTTGTGGTTTGTCTCATTTTTATTATCTGAAGCCTACATGCACTTTTTGTTCCCATTTTTTGGCCTGCGGCTCATATGAATCTGGATTGTGATGACCTCCACTACTGTCTGCCATGCTATGCCAGTAAGCTGCTGCCCTTAAGCCTACCTGCTCATGTACATGGAATTTTGGTTCTCCTAAGACTGACTTGAAACAACATTTGAGCAAACTGAAGTCATTAAAGTTCTGTTTATAGTATGAAATAAATGTACAGTTGATGTCTGGGTTTGCTTGATATACTTGTGACAAACCCAACAGGAAGAATGGATTTCAGAGACAAATAAAATAAAATGCTGTTACATATAACCAAATCACCTTAAAAACAAGTACTATTCTAGGGTTGCCAAGTCTGGCAGAAGTGACGCACGACATAGAGCATGTTGGGGGCGTGGCCCCAATCATTGGAGGGAAAACCATAGAGTTTTCCCTCCGACGATCAGGGCCACGCCCCCAACGTGATCTATGTGGTTGCGTCACCTCTGGTGACGCAGCCACGCTGCGCTTTGGGGGGCAGAGTTCCCCCGGGGCCCGATTCCGCTGCGGCAGAAATTGGGCCTCCAAAGCAGGGGTTTCCCCGCCCCCCGCCCCCATTTGGCAACCCTATACTATACAAAGATTCAAGTGTGACTTAGAAATGTCTGAAGTATTCCTATTATTTAAAAAGCGAATATATCTTTTCTTGTTAATGACCGTTGATTAAATATACAGATTTGTGAAAACTTATTTTTGACAAGTAAATCAATATTTAAATTTCAGAAGCAACAAAGCTGATCTTAGTTAACAGGAGGAGGTTTGGGGTGGAGAGTCATCTTGCAGAACAGATTTAAGTTTGGAACAATTCTCAGAACTGTATGTGCATCATTTTTCTTGGACAGTGACCAGGTCTAAAAGCAACAGGAAATAGCAGATAATGACCTACTATCTTGGCCCTGGGGGTTGCTCTGCTCAAACACAGAAGAACAAATACTTAAAAGTAAACCATATAGGTTCAAATCCATGTTATGTTTTTTTTCTCTTTGGGAAAAAAGTTCAAATGCATTCAGAACAGAGCTGTTTCTTTTAAAAAGGACACACTGTTCAAAACGGAAGCCAAGATTTTGCATACAACTCCATTTCAACTGAATGTTACACAAATTTTGATCTAATCATTTTTTGAAGAGTCACGGTAACCTTTCACGAACACCATGAGCATGCAAAAGTTTGGCATTATATTCTATTAATTTTTTATTTAAAGGGAGAGAGAAGATCCCCCCCCATAATGATGCTTTGTAATTATATAGCTTTCCTTCAAATCATGTTCTATGGCTGCCATGTCATTTCCAAGCAGATTAATTGGGCCAACAAAGGATGTGATCAGCTCTTCCCCTAGTCATGAGGGCTGCTTCCTATGTTTAATGCAAAAAATTTATGTGCCATATTATGCAGAACTTCAAACTATTGTAAAATTTCAGCATAATGCAAAATCCTGGGTATGGGGCAGGTGCCGTAGGAAGATGTGCACTCAGTAGTGTAAAACAACCTTATACAAAGTCACAGGTTTGCAAAAGAACTGCACAAAGGACTGGGAGTGAATGCCAATGAACTCTTTCCTACCATAACCCAGATAGAGAGACAACAGGAATTGTATGAGGAATTACTGTATCTACCATTGGGGTATTGAAAGCAGCCATAAATTCAAATGCTTGCAAATATTTATGACTAGATTTCAGATTAGGGTTGCCATTCCCCTGGTGGGGCCAAGGATCCCCCAACTTCGGGGGGCCCAATCCGCCATAGCCCAGCTGGCCAGCAGGGAAAGACCCAGCACTGCCGGTGTGATGACATCACCTGGGAGTGACATCATCGCGTTTCTGACATTGGAGGTGACGCTCTAAGTTTTGGACAAAACTCTATGGTTTTGAGGCCCCAAAAGCTAGAGCGTCACCTCCAATGTCAAAAACACAATGACGTCACTTCTGGGTGACGTCATCATGGTGCATGTACCAGAAGAACAATCAAGAACGATCAGGAGTCCCCCCCCACCGGCATCCAGGTAGGACCTGGCAGCCCTATTTCAGATGCTTGAGGAAATTCAAACAACCCACTATTTGGTTGTCTTCCATGTTTGAACTGTCAGTCAGTAGATTTAAAGTAGCTCTGTTGCCTAGTGAAATTTCTTTCCAGATTGGTTGAAAATCAGCCAGAGAAAAACCAGGCCACATTAGGATGCTATGGAATTCATAGATAAAGACTACAATAAAATACATATTGTGAACATCCCTTTCCCTAGCTCAACATTATTCTTCTGCAATTTCATTGCAATTATGGGTGTTTCTGGAAGACCATCTGGAAGGAATTGGAGGCTTGGAACCTGGCAAGAGGCAGGCTTATAAAGACATGTATGACTGATCCAATTTATGCTGTTTTCCCTGTAGAGTAGCCTTTGCAGCTGTGAAACTTGGGAAGCTCATACATTTCACAGACAACATAGCTGGAAGGAAACAGATAAGAGCTGGAGGGGGCCACATGACAGAGCATAGCCTTGCAGAATAATCCAGCTATGAACCCTGAGAGCATTAATTTAAAGAAATCAAATAATCAGCACAAGAACAACACACAAACTGAAGCAATGAGATACATTTTTGTGACTAGGAACAAAAATGTAATTTAGAAAATTTAAAGTTTAGCCCTATTTAGATATGAAAAAAATAACAATGAGGTTTATGCATTCTTGTATTTTTGCCAATTATATCCTTTTTCTGGTTTTCTGTTGTAATGTTTGTAATAAATTATGGTTAACCAAAGAAAACTTATACTAATCCAAAGGTTTCATTCTAAGAAGGCTTTTTAAAAAAGAAAAACTCTTTCCTCCCAGAAAATGCTCTAAATACTTTTTTATTTTTTCTAGAAGCCCTATAGGATGGTGCCAACCTGTCCTTCAGAGGGTTTCAAAGTCTGGGGGCAGCAGCTGAAGAAGCCTTCCTGCAGATAAGGTTGGTTTATTATTGTGGCTTCTGTGCAGGCACCCATTGGGACTGTGTGTACACAGGCCAGCCACAGAAAAGGTTTCCAAAGCTTTCTAGCAGACTAGGAGATCCCCTCCTCCCCCTGGAACTTGCCTGCAAAACAATCACAGGGGTGGAAACTAGTCAGAGGGTCAAAAATACTGATTTTGACCAAAATCCCCAAAAAACTGATCCAAAAACTGACAAATTACTGAACAATTTAATGTCAGCCAATTGGTAAGTTAGGGGGCCGCAGTGAGCTCCTGTCTCTGGCCCCAGCTTCGGACAATGCTGGCTCTTCGGCTTGGAAATGGAGATGAGCACTGCCCCCTAGAGTGGGATTCGACTGGCTTTCGAGCAAGGGAAACCTTTACCTCTTATTGATAAGTTAGCATTTTAAAAGTAAAACCAGGACTTCGTTAAAAATGATAATTATCTGGCCTCCACCATCCCCATAGCCAACCATCGCACAACTTTTTATTGATTTTTTAATGAAGATAGGACAATGTTTTCATTATTGTACAAAATTTAAGGCAAAAAAGATTCCCTTTTAAAAATAAGCAGATACTGCAGATAATAAAACAGCAAAACAAATTAAAAACCATACATAAAGTAATCATTGCCAGGGCTCTTCCTGGCATTTCAGCCCCACCTCCAATGTTTTGGTGTCTATATAGGCTTGGTATGCATGGCTGGCTTGCTGCATTTAATACAGAATTTTAACCATGTATACCAAATTAATCTGTCCAAAGGTACACTTCCTACCTCCTCCCACTTCCTACTATATGTAGGTGCAGCATATCATATGAGCCACCCCTAGATAGTCCTAGGGGAAGGGTTTAGCTCAGTGACAGAGCATCTGCTTTGCACGAAAAAGGCCCCAAGTTCAGTCCCCAGCATCTCAAAAGAAGGATCCAGTTGTAGGTGATGTGAAAATACTCTACCTGACACCCTGGAGGACTTCTACCAGTCAGGGTCGGCAATGCTAACCATGATAGACAAATGGTGTGACTCAGCATATGGCAACTTCACATATGTTTATGGCTCTATATTGTCTTTGATAAGGAAATATATGAATACTAGCAGTAAAGCCCGTTGTGAAAGCAATACAACGGGATCTAGAAAGAGGCTCTGGGAGGGTGCTCTGGCTTTGGGCAAACAGTGTCAATTTGCTGTGGTGACCTCAGCAGGGTATAATGACAGAGTCCACTGTTTTCTCCAGAGGAATTGATCTCTGCTACCTGAAGAGCAGTTGTAATTGTGAGTGATCTGTAGCCCTCACCTGGAGATTGGCAGCAATTGTTACCCAGGACAAAA